CAAAAGTTGAATAAAAACTGTTGTGAGAACCTGTGTTTTAATAGAGTTGATCAGCTTTTTAGTAGATCAACTAAAGTTTGACCCAATCAAACTTTTATCGTTCAAATGATTTGTCATCATGAATTGTTTTTAAGTTAAAGCTTGTCTTAAAACGTGTGAACTAGACAGTGAACTTTTGTCGAATGTGTAATACATAGATAAATAATGTGTAGTACGTTTGCAACTTTAATCTTGCTAAGATTGCTTGATGCATCACTGTATCTTGTTTTTTATGCGATCCCGAACTTTTAAAGACATGTTCCTCGAATTTCTTCTCTTTAAACATTCGTAAAGGTGTTCTATACCTTTCTTTATCCTCTAGAGCCAGCTCCCTTAGCATGTTTTCTGTTTTTAATCTATTTCTTCTTAGAATCCACTGTCTAACCAAAAAATTACGTTTATTACTACTTTTGTTTATATCAACAATTCGTTTCAGTTGTTTTTTTAACAAAAGTGAAGCAGTCTGTACACATTCATTGAACAACTAAAATCGGTTAATTAAACTGACCCGTAAGAACGGGCTTTAACTGAACCCTTTGGTAGTATAAAGTATGTTTCCAGATATGTTTTATTTGAACTTCCATTGCTTGTTCTAAACCTTTTGTTGAAAATACTGTCAGAGAACGAAATTCTTTTAATTCAGAAGGTAGTTCAACTTTAGGTAACTAGTCCTTCTTTCCATGTCTATTGTTTAAGAGAACGTAAATCTGTATCAAAATTAGCCAAATTTAATTACAAAAAATCTCTGTATTGCAAATAATTGGATTTTATAGATTTATATTTATTATTACGTCGATAGAATTATGATCGTAACACGAAAATTTAAAATAAGATAGAATAATAAATTTTAAGTTATCCGTTAAAATAATATTCTAGTAATGTTCTTGAGCTAAGAGTAATTATTGTTGCTTTGGTAATAATTTGCTTTATGCTTAATCCGTCAAGTATAGCTAGGTAGTCAGACGTAACATTATTATTTACAAGTAGGTCAATATCTCCTACACAAATTAAATTTTGATATTCAGTATTCATAATTGATAAAGTATCTTTAAAGTGATCTAAAAACGTTTTTAAACTTGTATTATAAACAATAAATCCACTGGTTATTCTCTATGGAAAGCCACAAAGTGATTAAAAAGGCCCACTGTGCAGAATGCTCCATTGGAAATACAGATGGCAGCTGGGCCAGAAATAATATACAAAAAGTTAAAAGATTTACTGAGCACTTACAAATTACCTTTCAACCAAATGAAGAAAAAGAATTACCGAACTTGGCTCCTCTAGAGAAAGATTACTCAATTATCAGACCAACCTCTCCGAAGAAAGATATAAAAACAAATATTAATCCTAAGAGAGCTCCTGACTTTGATTCAATTACAGAAAAAATCTTCAAACAACTTCCGAAGAAAGCCATAAAAAAACTTACAAACCTGTTTAATGCCTCATTCAAACTAAGGTATGTCCCTAGGTTGTGGAAAGTAGCTTAAGTCATTATGATCCTCAAACCAAGAAAACCTCCGAACCAAGTTTCATCATATAGACCAAATATCACTATTGACTTTATTATCGAAACTATTTGAAAATATACTAACAAAAAGACTAAACCCCTTCACTGAAGATAAGAAACTAATTCTAGATTACCAGTTCGGCTTTGGAGTATAACATTCAACTATAGATCAGGTTCATAGAATCTCAAATGCGATTGAAAAAGCATTGGAAAACAAAGAAATCTGTTGAGCCATATTCCTCGATGTTGCACGAGCTCCTGATAAAGTATGGCATGATGGCTTGAAACATAAAGTGAATGTGCTACTTCCACAGCCATACTCAGAGCTATTGGATTCATATATTTCAGATATATTCTTTAGAGTAAAACAAGATAAAGCATCCTCTGAATTGAAAGAAATTAAAGTAGGAGTGCCACAGGGAAGCGTCTTGGGACCCACTTTGTATCCGTTATACACTTGTGATATACCCCAACTAGAACAAGACACATTAGCTTCATTTGCAGACGCTACTGCCATCCTAGCGATAGGCAAAGATTATGAATACACTGCAAATAAACTACAAACATCAGTTAATCTAATAAATAATTGGACCAAAAGATGGCGTATTTAACTAAACGAAACCAAATCTGTTAATATTAATTTTACTGACGAGAAGGGTCAAAGAATGCCAATTTAGATAAATAATGCTCATGTCCCTTATGCTAACTCGGCAAAATATCTAGGTATTACATTAGATGCAAGACTTCGCTGGAAGGTCCATGTTAAAAAGAAAAGACAAGAGTTGGATATAAAATTCAAGAAAATGTACTGGTTACTTGGTAGGCATTCCAGCCTATCTACCTATAACAAAATTCTATTATATAAACAAGTTCTCAAAGCAATTTGGACCTATAGCATTCAGCTCTGTGGTTGTGTCAGCTACAGTAATATTCTAATAATTGAGAGATTTAAGAACAAAGTAATGAGGAACATTGTCGATGCTCCTTGGTACATTAGAAACAGCGACCTTCATCGAGACCTTTAGATGGACACTGTTGACCAGATTCACTAGGAAACACTGTTGTCCAATAAAGTAATTTTGTAAATCACTAGATATATTTTTAAATCTTTAACGTAAAATATAAAATGTTAAAATATTAAAAACAGGAATATGTAACATATCATTGGTTATTTGGGGAGAGAGCCAAGTTTCAGATAGTACCAGAATATCAATATCTTTTTGTAAAGTTAAATCGCGTATAATATCAATTTTAGACTGTAGAGGGTAAATATTTAAATAGTCAATTTTCAGTTTTTTTAGCTTCATGTCTATATATTATATTTTAGTATATTCCACCACGGTAAAATATTTATGCAAAAGTGTTCAATAAATAAACTGTCAAAATTATTTACTAAAACATAATATTAAAGAATAATAGAAGCAATCAAAAAAAAAAAGAATAACTAAAGGAAACATTTCATCTCGATGTAAGCTTGAAAACCAAATATTAAATTGTTAAAAACAAAGATTTTTATAGATTTGAATATTTCCACCTTTGGCGTCATTACTGACCTCCGTTTCTGCATGCCTTTAATAAGGTCAGTAATAGACATTGTGCCCTTGGGAATATAATGCTACTCTTCGAGGGACTAACTCTCTTAGAGTCCTAAGAGGATCCAATGATGCATGAAAAGCGGTAGTCTGGAAATTCCAAAGATTTAATTATCACGATATAAATATCCCGAACCTGTTCGATCGAAGTTAAATCACACAGGCACAACCTCATATAAACAGTTTTGCACTACGATTTTAGTAGGCTGATAATATTTTTCCACTACATTTTATTTATATTGTGTACATTTTTTTGCTACCTTCCTTTTTCCCAAATTTATATATTCTTGTTTCCATCACCTCCTTTTGGTGCTTTATTAGTACTTGATATTTTTCTGTGTATATAATTCATTGTTTATTGTTCTCTTTATATTCCTGTAATGTAACATATTATGTGCATAAATATTTTAAGATGCTGTTCCAGGTTTATACGGTTTTCTACGCAACATTTTTTTATTTATACTTCTTGCATTACATGATAATCATCATCAACGTCGTCGTCGTCGTCGTCATCATTAGTATGCAATTTGCAATGTTTTTATTATGTTTAGTAGTTCTATCATTATATCATCGGCGTACGCCCAATAGTCTAAGATTTATGCTGACTCTAATTGTGCTATTCTATAACCGAATGTACCGCTGCGCTGTAAAGCGATAACCTTGAAAAGTTACAGCGACTGTTAATATTTGGTATGCTTTTGAAATTATCGAATTTCAATTCAAAAAAATGTTTAGATTGTCAAAAAATCTTACATTTCACCTAATTGAAGAATTACAAGGATTTAAACAACCAACTGTCAGGAATACTGCTATACCTTTTCATCTAAAAACATTAGCGATCCTGAACTTCTTTGCTAGTGGTTCATTTCAAGGTGGTGTTGGAAATTCTAGCTGGAATTGCTTGAGCCAACCAGTTATAAGTAGTAGACACATGGATTCAATTTCCAAATACAAATGTTCGTAAGAACTTAGTAAAACAAACTTTTTTTTAAAAAATTGGTATATGAGGTACAATAGGCGCAATTGACGGTACCCATGTTGAAATAATAGCTCCACCTTCAAAATGACTTGGAACGTCCACCATTCGTATACATTAATAGAAAAGGAAAACATTCCAATAATGTCATGTGCTTTGCTGATGCTGATCTCAAAATATTGGCAATTGATGCCCGCTATCCAGGATCTGTACATGATGCTACCATATTTCTAGTGTCGGACATAAGAAACCATTTGGTAAGGGAGTATGAACAAGGTGACAGAAATTCACATTTAATTGGCGACAGTGGTTATGGTGTCGAACCATGGCTTTTCACTCCATTTCAAAATGTTCAGCCAAATACCCCACAAGAAAGGTTTAATCACCAGCTTTGTTCTGCTAGAAATGTTGTGGAAAGAGCTTTCGGGGTTTTAAAAAAAGATTTGCCTGTTTATCTCGACATCGAGTACTTCTTTATCATCCCAGTAAAGCAGCATATATAATATACGCATGTGCGGTTTGTCACAATATAGCATCAACTGAAAATGTAGATTTGGATATTTTTGAGAATGATGAAGATGATGAACAACCAGAAGACATGAAAGAGAACATACAACATAACTTAAACATTACTAACCTGGGTATGCAGACTAGAAATCAATATGTACATAATATTTTTTTTTTGAACTTGTTAACTTTGTTAACAATAAAACAAACTATAGTTAGAGTTTCCTTCTATTTTTAAAATATACAAAGTGTCCCAAAAAACACTTTACATAGGGGGTTTCGATGAAAATAATAAAACAAAAAAAATTATGGAAATTCAAAATTTTTATTTTCAAATTTATATTTGGCAATTTTGAAATTTAATTCCCTTTCCTTTAATTTGCATTCTTCTAACTTAACAAGCTTGTATACCTCTACAAATTTTCCAATTTCATTGCTTACAGCTTGCAATGTCTGTGTATTATTTTCGTAAGCTGCTTTTAATTTATCAGCTGCAACAGTTAAAGTTGGTTTTGCCTTGGCTTGTTTCCGCCTTGGTGTTGAATTAATTATGGGCCGAGGTGTGGGCACATTTTCTGTTTTAGTGTGGTGACTATTATTCATAACTGGCATGTCAACACTCTCATGTACTGCCTCACTGTCAAAATCTGCTATAATTAGAATTTCCTCAAAAGTTGATTCTGGTTCATGTGCATAATCAGGGGCAGCAGAAATTGTAGAAGTACAAGCACTTGATGTTGAAGGTAACCCGCCAGTTATCGCCACAAGAGGAGTACCTGTTACAGCTACTTTTCCCCACACAGTCAAACCTCTTTCTTCTTGTTCCGTCATATCAATTTTTTCCCCAAGTCCACCACCAGTTGCCATTCTACATTCTACTAATTTTCTGTACTTAGCTCTTGTCGAGTTTTTTCAATCCTTGAATCTCTGTTAAAAAAAAGTCAAATTAATATCAGGGATTTCAAATAGTTATTCGATTTTAATATAAAATATTTTATCAAACTAACCTTTTGCCATGCTTCCTTTGTCAATACAGGCCCCTTTCCTAAAGAATTTAATTCTATTGTAAGTTTTTTCCACTTATTCTCTATGTATTTTGGTTCCACTGTTGGATTTATTACCCCGCTTCTAAATATATAGTCGCCTTCTATGTGCTCCAAATATATATCGCACTGTTCCACTGATGTATTTTCTGTTCTTTTTCTCTTTGATACACTAAAATAATAATTAATAAATAAAAGTATGAACAATGATTAAAATTTTAGATAAATTACCTGCTTTCGGCCATAATAGTAAAAAAATACCATTTTAATCACAATTCACTTATTGTCTCTACACTCTAAACAAACTCGAATAATTTTCCACGTTTTTTCTGCTTTCTACTAATAACTTATAGGTTATAAAATTGCGAATTTTAGCGGTATTTTTCCACGGAACATCGACATTTATTTACTATGATGTTAGCTTCAGTGTAAATTTCAAAATGTATCTGGCCTCCTTACAGCGGGCTGTACATAATCGTAATTTCGTGATGATCTGTAAGCAACGCAATTACATCGCTATGTAGACTACATCGATGTAAGTTTTAAGGTAATGTAGAGCTGAGTTATAGAATAGCGTAATAAGGGTCTGTCCAGACGAGCCACTTAGTCGCGCTGCTAAGTGGCGCGTACGGGCCACTCGGTGTCGCCACAGAGTGGCGACCACTGGTCGCTCGTGTGGACGTGTCAGACGAGTAGCGCGATTCCATAGTAAGCTTATGTTGGAAGATAATTAAAATTTTTGAGCATCATTATGAACTCAGACGAGGTAGTACTCCTTCTAGCGCTTCTTGTAAAACGACGTTTGCGTAAAAAACGTAGAAGATTTTGGACCAACCCCATTACTTCTGAAAGTTTATTATTTGGGCAGTTTCATACTATATTGAAAAGCGACAATGATAAATTTTTTAACTATTTTCGAATGTCAAACACAACTTTTAATCAGCTTTTTAGTTTTCTTGAAGTCAATATAATAAAGTCAAATACAAATATAAGAATAAGTATTTCAGCCGAAGAAAGACATACTATTACATTAAGGTAAGTGATCAATCGTTTAAGAGTTTTTATTTATATTAAGGAAATAAAAGATACAAAAAATTAATATTTTGCTTTTTATAACGGACCACGCAGTTTCCTTATGGTACATAACTTTCAGTCAAATCTGCTGAATTTTATACATGCTGCAGTTTTGGATATTCTAATTAAAAGTGTCCAGTGGCACAAAGTTTCCCTATGACTAGTTTTTCAGATATTAAAATTAAAAATATTTCATGAATATTAAAAGTTACGTTTTGAATCCCATATATATTTTTGACTATCATAATGTAATACAAACCTTTTTGGAAAATATTTGTATAAGGAGTAAATATTTTTAAATTTAAATAGAAAAACTGCTTATTTAAAAATCGTTTAACGCCTAAAACATTAATATATATATATATATATATATATATATATATATATATATATATATATATATATATATATATATATATATATATATATATATATATATATATATATATATATATATCGTTATATAAGTCTGTGTAAACAACAATTTATTATTATAAAACATTTACGTATACAGGACGAGTTAAAATGTTATTTTACAATATATTACGTATATCATAATGTGTTCCAAACAAATATAACATCACAACAAAATATATACTTCGGACATCACAAGAACAGTAAAAAGTTATATAAATTTAAAATTTACAAATATTACCATTTATTTACCAAACTTCCTAGAGAGAGTTGAAATTTTTCGATGAGAATTCCACAAATTTCCTCTCAAGCCTTACTCTTTGATATCCTATTACCATATTCTTCGCATCGAACGGCATATTACTCAGTCAATACAGAATCCTGACCCCGAAAATCAAAATAAAATATCTCTACCAATGTTTGTAGAAGTCGACAACACAGTCGACGACAGGACTGGCCCGTGTGGACGGTTCCAGCCATTGAGTGTCGCCACTTCGTCGCGGGGACCCGCTTCTCTTCGCCACAGTCGCTCGCCACAGACACTCGTCTGGGCAGCTTCTTAATTTTAACATTGAATTGAGTGGCTCTACTAAGTGTCGCCACCGAGTGGCTCGTCTGGACCGGCTCTAAGAGCTCATCTAGACGAGCCACTCGGTGGCAACACTAAGGGCCCTATTCAGTAATTTATCGTTTATAGACGACATCGTTAAGCTAACGACAGTTTAACCAACGACTTTTATAACGATAATTTTTGAAACTCTATTCAATTACAAAGTCGTTACGTTGTTTCTAGTTACCAAATCTGAACGATGATTTCTAGTAAGTTGGTATTATAATTTAGTGTTTTGTGATAAAAGAACGTATGTTGATGATTATACCGGGTGTTTAAATTAAAATGTTAAGTTAAATATCGCCGAAAATATGCATTTTATAAAAAAAAGTATCAGATAAGTTTTATAGTTTTTTAGGGGAAACATTTTGGCTAAATTAATTTTTTTTATAGCTGACCATAATATGGCCATATCGAGGTGGATTTTTTTTTCAAATTGGAACCCTTTTTTTTACATAGGTGTTTTTAGAGTTCATAAAAAAATAAGAAACTTCTAAGGAAAACATTTTTTTATTGGACTTCTACTTATTGAGTAACATCTACTTGAAAATTTTGCTGCGCGAAAAAAAAGTTGGGTTAGCTATAAAAAAACGATTTTAGCCAAAATGTTTTCCCCAAAAAACTATAAAACTTTCGTTTTTTTATAAAAGGCGGTATTTAACTGTAACACTTTAATTTGAACACCCGGTATATTTGACATTTTTTTGGAACGTAAAATAAAAATTCTACCAGTAGATATATTCATTTGTTTTTCAGAATATATTAATTATTGTTCTTAACCTACAACACGATCAGGGGGTCGATTCTCGATTCGTAGGAATTCTGTTTCTCGCTGGCCATTTTTGCTGGTCGTATTGTATGTAGGGTTTATTTAAATGAGTAGGGATATATTATTATATATTTCAAAAGAATACAAAAAAAAAACAACTCGAGAACAGTACAAGTTGTATTTATTGGATTTGAAAGACAAACCAAATTTGATATTATCAATCCTTTTTCCTGATTATGTTGATGTCATCGGCTTTGACAACTCAGGCCATTAGCCTCGTTTTCTGTGTAGGTTACGGAGAAGTATTATTATAATAGGTACTTCCATAATATAGGTTCTGTTACTGTTTCGCAGTGCTACTTTAGGAACAGCACTGTTAATAAAAATCCAATAGTAAATTGTCGAATGGGCAATCCTAACTTTGAATAAAATTTATTTTTAAAATAATTAAATAAATTAGAAAAAAATTCCTTACAAATTGTATTTGCTGTGTTAGGTAGATGGCAATTTAGTTGTAAAGTTTGTAAAAAAGTTCTTTTATTATTTAGAACATATCCTGATTCACAATGAAAAATGAGAGGGAATGCAAAAATCTCTATAACGACACTTCATATTATTAACGACAGCTCTGTGGCTATCGTTGATGAACGACAATTTTACAACCATATTTGTCTATTTTCAACGACAATCGTTATCTACTGAATAAGAAAAGTCGTCTGTGAACGATTATCGTCTATTAACGACGTCGTTCAGAGTTACTGAATAGGCCCCTTAGAAGCGCCACTTCATTTAATTCAAAGTTAAAATGTAGACGCTGTCCAGACGAGCGTTTGTGGCGAGCGGCTGGGGCGAAGAAACGGGTCCCTGCGACGAAGTGGCGACACTAAGTCGCTGAAACCGTCCACATGGGCCACTTTTGTTGTCGACTTCTACCAATTTTGGTAGAGATATTTTATTTTGATTTTCGGGGTCCAGTATAAAGTAATATGACGTTCGATGCAGATCGATTTATAGTCGAAATAGAACAACCTCCTGCGGTTTGGAACAGTAGTTCGATAAAATATAGCAATAGGGTATTAAAGAGTAAATCTTGGAAGGAAATTTGGTGTAAATTTTATAAAAAAATTAAAGTAATGGATTCTGGTTCAAAGAACAAGGCATGTTAGTATCGCTAGAACAGCTAGAATGAGTACTTCCTGATCCTGAGTCCATAATGACAATGACAAATTTTAATTACCTTCCAACATGAGCTTACCATGGAATTGCGCTACTCATTAGCTAGCACGTTCACACTAATGACCAGTGGCCTGTACACGCCACTTAGCAACTAGCGGCTCGTCTGGACAGGCCCTTATTTTATTGGATTATAGTGGATATTCTAAGGCTCTTTTTGATGGTTGCTATTTTGCCAAGTTGATTGCTATTTGTATCTATGATATTTGTTGTTGCATATTTAATCATATTGATAAATTTAGGCTTTTCTTAAATTCATAATATCCTCAGTAACAATATCCGTATGAACTTCTTTCATAGCTCCAGTGCAAAACTTGTTACTACTACCATTAAAAGGACAGTTTATAGTGAGGGTTTATAGTAAACTTTTCTAGGTCTCCTTTTGTCTAAAAATATTATAGACCTAAAAAATCCTTCAGACTCTTGTATATGTTCTTGTGAGTAGATTGAGGCAGATAATCATAGTAGATTCAGGACTCTGGAAATAAATATTCTAATGTAACATGTCTTAAATATTCTCATGTAACATGTCTTGGTTTTGGTCTAGGCCTTGGATTTCGTCAGTTTCCACATTTAAAGCGAAAACTATAGTAAATAACCATCTTTAATTGTGCCGGGGCGCTGCGCGGAATTAGTTTTATATTTATGCTACCTTCAGTTATAACTTTTATATATAACTTTTATAATATCCCGCATGCATCTTTACATTGTACATTTTTCTTTTAGTTTCTATGTATAAAGATTTTTAAAGATAAAATTGAATTAAATCGCCATGCTGCGAATCCTTGATTTTTGTTATTTTTTTAAGGTCCCGGAACTTGTCCGACGTTGCCAATTTACCAGATTGTTAAGAATTATAATATTTACATTTTCAACCAAGTTTCTAAGCTTTTGCATGAAAATAAAAGGTTGCAAATTGAAATAGCTGTTTAAAAAACTTGTATGAGTTATATCATCGGTTTGCAGTACTTTTGCAATTTTTTTGTCTATGATATAAACAAACACACTATTTTTCAAACAAAAAAATCATGTTCCGAACTTTAAAAAAAAGTTGCAAATCTAATAAAAAAAATACAGTTTATACTGCTTCAAGTTTGCAGAACTTTTGCATTTTTTTTTAAGTTATAATAAATTTTAATTTTTTA